GAACTCCCCTACTCACCATGAATTCGGCAGGACCATCCTGAACATACCAAGCTAATCATAAACTCATCATGATCATGATGAATTAGCTAGAATAAACTCATTAAAATATTTCAAAAGTGCACTCCGTTGAGTTCAAAAACTATCAAACCCTGAGCCGCACACGCACGAGTTTTTTAATCAACTTCGTGCTTGGTTTCAACAGGTTAATTAGGTAATAAGGTTTAAACTTTGATTTGGTATATTAATACTATAATTATATGCATGAAGCCCAATTGTATGTTGCTAATTTTTTTTTCATTTGATTTACATATTAGTTGAGTTCCACTTTTCCCTTTATATGTCAATTTAATTCTCCTATATATTTTGCATGTTGTAAATGGGCTTCATTTTATTGGTTAGCTTGTGAAACCAAATGGATATTTGATTTTATGAATGGTAGTTATTGTTCATGAAAATTTTTAAGTAAAATATCATTAGCATTATTTTGTCATTAAATAATTAATAATTAAGCTAAATTTTTAACTATAAATGAAAATTTAAAAGTAGTTTTCCTAATTATTTTTTATTAGCTAACAATTATAGAGATCTAAGCTTGATTTTCTTATAGAATTTTTATTTTTAGCTTTCCAAACTTTTTGAAAGTTTTATTATGTTGTTTTTTTATACATTTATTGTTTTAAATTTAAAAAATTTGAAATAGTAAATCATAAATCTACTATTAGTTATATTTCAAATGAAATTTAATGAGGACATTTAAAGTGAAAAAATAGAGATAATAATATACAAGGATAAATATAATTTTAATTTATAACAAAATATTACACTTCAACTTAATAATTTGATAACTAAATTAGCCATAAATATTTTATAAATCCATTTATTAAAATTAAAAAATATTTAGTCATATACCAGATCGGCCTGATCCTGTATGCTGTCAGTCCCGCTTTGTCAACCACAAAATACCTCCTCCTCTCTAACAGCCAGTGTCGAACTCGTCAAAGAAACATCCTACAAACCTCCTTTTGCTTGTATTCTTTTGTAGCAAAATCAGATTTCGTTGGATTCACTCATAATAACAGTTATACTGTGTTGGCAAGCAATGAAAGCCTTAAGTGTTGGCCTGTGTAAATTGGTGTGGGTTGCATGCTAGGTCGACCGAAGTTTTCACTGGCCTAAGGACAGTGCTTCCTCATCACAAAAAAAAAAAAAAAAAAATTATACTGTCTATGTTATTTAATTTCCTAATCTCCCATACTTGCTTCTCCCTTTACATCATTTCCATTTCAAAATTGAACACAAGGGACTTGAACTGAGACGGACAATAGGGAACCGAACTTTTAATTAGCAAATACATAACTTATATTAAAATGCAAATATCAATTAACAACTCTAATTACCCAAATGAAAATAAATGAATGAGTAAGGGACTTATATTGAAATTTCAATGGGCATGGTTTGTTGATTTGTTCATAAGCAACAATGCAAGCCCTTAATGAACATGTTAACTCACCTACGACCATATATAAGGAATGCAGTGTATTTGCAAGCAATATTTGAAGAGTTATAATGAATAGAAACACTCATGGTGCTAGAAGATTTAGGACGTACACATCGTTTTATTCACAAATAAAAGTAAAGGAGTTTTTCATGCACACAATGATTGGCTGACGTGCAAGATTAGGAGTTGATGATATAAATCTTGTAGTGCACATGATGCTCTAATTCATAAGCAATAATGGGGGCATGCAAGTGAACATAAGCAATCATTGACCAATGTGCATGAAGAAATTGGTGGCAAATGCAGCTTGACCAACATGCAACATATCTTGAATACATATAAACACACCAAACTCCTGCAGCTGATGACAATAGGTATCCATTGATTATAAAGATGACCTCATAGTCAACATCAACTGAGTATTAACAAATGCACAAGTTCCCTGTGGGTGAAGGAAGTCAACATGTTGCGGACACTACAATATTCCTTCAACCAATATCATCTAATTAGAAAGTTAGAGCTGTCGTCCTCTACAAGCATTAAAAATTAATGTGCAATGAATGTGAAAATGACCTATAGGCAATATCAAAATACAAATAAATGTACTCAACATTGCAAGTAATGAAAGTGAAAGGGATATTCATGAGTGAAGCATAAAGAGTATGTAACGAATTACAACGCACATTGCATATTGTATACAAGCAAGGGTAATACATTGGCAAAGTACACAAGCTCCTGCAAGCTAACATATGAGACTCTTCATCCATACAGTGATCCTATATACAAGCCGTAATGGTGAATGCAACACTAATGTGATGGATTCTCTACATGCATAATACGTCTTATGCACAGTAATATATATACGATCATGGCGTCGACCATGATATTTGTTTTATACATTCATATTAGGCCTTCAAGATCTATAATATTAAAAATCCACTAATAATAACATAAAGCATACTATGAACCAGATTCTCTATCAGCAATTAGACAGAGTAGACAATGTTCAACAGATAATTACAAAAATTCCCCCTAAATATTTGTGTGGGCCCTAGAGAGCATGTTATGAGTGAGCACATGACATCTGAAGATGTTGAGTGGGTCAAATGATAAATTTAAGTTCGAGCCTGATCCTTGCAAGCAGATAGGAGTCGACATGGCTTGAACTATCAAATAAATATACAGTCACGATGTTGATCGAGATACATATTTTAATATATTGATATTAGGCCTTCAAGGCCTATAACTAGAAAAATTCATCAATAAAAGCATACATCCGACGATGGACCTGATCATCTATCAATAAGTATACAGAGTCGAGAAGGTTCAATTAATGAAATAAAAATATCCATAAATATATCGATGAAGACCGTGTTGAATGTTTATATCAATCGGAGGGGACTCTACATCTTCAAATGCCACCCAAATGCCCATAAAAGTGAAAACTCCAAAAAATATCAAAACCTAAAACATTTAAAATTGAAATTAACCATCAAAATATTTAATGCAAAATCCATCCACCCTTTGAAACAATTTGTTGAGACTAATAAATACAAATACCAATTCAGCTCACAAAGAGCTAATATATGCTCAAAAATATCACTAAGATTCGTTCTCAAATAATCTCTTGCTTGTAAGGATGTGGTATTGGTCCTCCAATCAGCGGTTTAGTTGGATGGCTCCGCAAGAAACTCGTGGTTTTGTTAGATGGCTCCACGTAATTAACGATTATGACCGTGACCCTCTGACCTAGTGGCATGGTCCAAAGACTCCACCATATTAAAGTTAAGGTAATAGCCCGTATGATCCTTCATGGCATCAAAAACTTGAGATATGAATCAATAAGATATAATCGATAAGGTACAAAGCCCTCTATTAGATAAGGTGGATTTAGATTTTTTTTCCTTAGACAAATACTCACCCTAGATCTATATGGTTCCCTTGGATGATGCAACCCATGGCTGCCGATAAGGATCCTTCTGTTAGGTTGGGTCGACTATATCTTTTGAAAGTAAACCAGGGACCGTGATGAACCAGGATGACAAAACCATAGGATCCTGATAAGGTCTATCATCACTCCCCCACCGTCCACTTTAAGTGCAAAATAGTGAAAATTTCAATTTTAAATACTATATCTTAAAATATTAAACCCATGTTGCTACTATACACCAGATACCATGTATTCTCTATGTATCTATTTGACGACTAACTTTAATTGAAAGTTCTCTCTAGCCACCAGGAGGGGTAATTAATTATAGGGGCCAGTGCCTATAGGAAACCTGAACTTAGATCATAAAGTCCTTGCAAAATGAGGGAGAAATCTCTAGGTAAGGTCTATTCAAAATCCAATCTGCCTTCTGAAAATTTGCCTCAGAACATATTTGTTAAAGCTCTCCTCGGCGACCCGAAAGGAAAGAAAAGGGGTCTACGTACGGAGAGGCTAGGTAACGCATTTTTGGAGCCCACACAAACCTGTATACATATCCTTAATGACTTGAATATAAGCATTATCAACTTCTTTTTTTTAGAATTCTCCAAAGAATTTATCTTAAAAGTTTATCATATATTTTCTCTAAATCAATAATATTATATGTAGATCCTCCCTTCTCTGTCTATACTTTTCATCAAACCTCTCAACAAATGTATAACTTCCATAGCAAGGCTACCCAACATGAATCCAAATTGATGTTGAGATATACAACAATAACAACAACAACATCAAGCCTTTATCCCATTACATGGAGTCGGCTATATGAATCATTTTTCTCCATTATGTCCTGTTAAGAGTCAAATTCTCCTTTTAATCTAATAAAGAAAGGTCATCTCTAATATTTTTTAACCAACTTTTTATGTCTTCGTCTACCTTTATTAAAGTAAGCTAAATCTAATACATCTACTCTCCTAACCGGGTCATCAGAAGACTATCATTTTATGTGACTAAAACATCTAAGGCGGCTCTCTCTAATCTTTTTTTTTTCAGTGGAGCTACTCCAACCTTTTCATGTATATGCTCGTTTTGTATTATATCTCTAAGAGTAAAGGCACTCATCCACCTAAGCATCCTCATCTCTACAACACTTAACTTAATATTACGATTCTCTTTTAATGGCTAACATTCTGCACCATAAAAGCATTACAAGTCTGACTACTATCTTATAGAATTTTCCTCTAAGTTTGAAGGGGGGCTTTTCTATCATGCAACAAGTCTGATGCATTCCTCCACTTCAACTAACAAATTTGAATTCTAATAATAATATCCCCATCAATTTCCCCATCACTTTTAACAATAGAACCAAGATATCTAAAATATGTACTCTTATTAATGACTTGATCGTCCAAAGTCACAATCCCCCACTAGATTTATTACTACTAAAATAACACTCCATACGATTTTAGATATGCTCAAAAGAAAACCTTTAGATCATAATTCAAGTTTACCTTCAACTCTCTCTTTAGCTTTATCAACAAGAAGAATATCATTGAGCATACAGCAGGGGGCATGTTGAGAAATACTAATAAGATAAAAGGCTAAGATTTAATATAGGAAGACCTACAAACAACTTTTGTAATACTATATATATTTTGATTACAAGTTTACCAAAACATCTCAAATATGGTTTCTTCCATCAACCCTTCAAATATATTCCAACCCATCTCTGCACAGATACACTCCATCTCTAACCTATGCTCATTCCACATTGCACTGCCCATGTCTTTCATTATTATCTCATTTATAGTATATTGAACCTGTGAACTTAGAAATCTCTTAATGGCCTTACAAACTTCTTGAATTATAAACTCTTTCAGAATTGGCACCCAGGGGCAGATCTGGAATCGCCGTTCTTTTATCTCTAAAAGAACCTCATTTACACAGTCCAATAGAAGATTTGGGTCTTCTGGATATGTACTTTGCAATGATTTTATTTCACCTAAATGTGAGGGGTGGAGTAACAGGTCTGAAGAGGGCCACCTCTCTGGACTCATCTCTGAATCAAAACTATAGGCTTCCAGCATATTTCTTACATATTTAGTCATGATCTCCATGTCATATGAACAAGTTCTTTGATGAGCTACCAAACAATCTGATGTGTTTATAACAACTGTAGAATCTTCATGGAAGTTGAGATGAATTGGTTGCAAAGGCCTTTTTAATTCATCTGTAGTAAAAGAATCTGTAAATGTTTTACAGTTTGAATCGAAGGAAGAAAAGAAAATTTGAGAAGCAAAAAGGAAACAAAAATAAAAGGTTTTTAAAATTTTAAATCATACCGAATTTAATACTTGGATGGTCTGGGCTTCCATCATCTTCTAAGAAAAATGGTTCAAGCACAGACACTGGACTTGGCCTTTCTGTTTTTTCGCTGATGAACTCAGACGATTCAATTTGATTTATGATTAAAGTGTTTGGAGATATTGATGCAGTCGGGATCAGTATTCTTGGTTTCTCATTTGGTGTGCCCTGAGAACAAAAAAGAGTGATTTCCTCCATTAATTACTATCTTTAAAATGAAGGAAAGCTATAAATAAGCTGTTCACCAAAGACATACTTGCTCGGATGAAGTAGAACATCCATCTGTGCAACTTTCACATGAAGAATCATCAGGTATGTACAAATTGTTGCAATTCACGGCAGGATTTATATGCACAGATTTTACTTGTTCTATTTCTACATTTTCCTCTCTTCCTGCCAAAGATACAGAAAATCTCAATATTCGTAAAAAAAAAAAGGTAAATCTAAGTGATGCATCAATACTGATTCATACATAGTTAATATGCAAGCAATTCAAAAAAATAAAATAATTTTGGATTTCAAGCATATTATACCGTTTGTGCCAGTTTGTTCTCTGTCAAAAGCTTCTTCCTTTACTATGGCTTTGTCCATTGCTGCTTCTGCGTTGATCACTGACATTTTCACATCAAGATCACTACTAAGGCATGGCGTGTCCTTCAAACTCGGCACTGAATTTAAATTGGCAGAAGTGCCATCAATCAACTGCAGCGTTAGCAGGTTGCAATCTGATGGAGAGATCATTTTCTCTGAAGACTTGCAGAGATCGGTGTTTGTCAAGTTATTGGTTCTATATTCAGTACCAGTCATCTCGGAATAACGTTTCTCTGCTTCATCGTTGAGGGATTCCATACGAAAGAGAGTAACTAGTGATAGTCCTTGTATTTTGCACTGAGTAGTTTCAACTTCAGTTTTTGGTTGCCATTCTTTCACCTTGGATTCCTCGTCTACTTTGCTATGAGATGGAGAAGATCTACAAATATTTTCAGAGCTGCAATCAATTTTGCTTGTAACATTTGTTTTGGAACTTTCTGTGGAAGGCATACTGTATCGGTCAGTTGAAACTTTAGAACAAAATGGAATCCTGCTGTTACTACCCTTGGAAATCAAATTATGCTCCCCTCTGCTCTCACCAACTATGTACCTTAACTTACTCTTAATTTCTCTAAATGAAAAATGTGAGAGAGTTCTTTCGACAACTTTCTCATGCTTCTTGCTGTAACGGGATTGAGGAGACGAGCATGGACTGTTCTGGGTTGAATCATCATGTTTTCTTGATAGGTGCGGCTTTAGAACTACAATTTTACTCGTTTCCTTGGAAGTTTTTCTGGTCTTTGATGCAATTTCCCCTCGAAAATTGTTTGTCTGTTCTAAAAGAAAAGGTTGTTTTTGCTTCTGGAACATTTGATTACTACTACGTTTCCCATCTTGATCAGAATTTCCAACTTCTTCCTCAAGCTGTTCGCTTCCTTCCAAGCTGTGAAATGCTTCCAGTTCAGAAAATTCCACAGCCTTTGGTGCCAGAAGCTCTTGAACATGGCTGAACACAAGTGAGTTTGGATCCTGAACAAGCTTTAGAAACAACTCCTTGTTTGAGTTCAGTATCTCCAACGCATCCAGAAACTCCTGGGCGTGTATAACCCCATTTCCAACTAGCTGCTTGGTGTCATCAATCTTCCGACTTAGGAAGGCTTCAGCTTCAATTTCCAGTGCCTCCCGAAGCATAAACTGCCTGCAGGCAAGCCGGGAATCAGATTCATCAAGACTAGCATGCTTTTTATGGCCACTAGATCTTAAGGTACCACATAAATCAATCTGAATTTCTTCAAACATATCTGAACAAATACGGCTTGCAGAATAGAACTCTATCATCAATGCAGCTAAATCAAATATAAGATTGGAACCTTCAACTGGTTCTCCACATTTGAACTGCTCCAAAACTAGATAATCAGAGTCGAATAAGTTACTGATCCGATTGTCAGAGTTATTTTTGTGGTGTTTAGTTATCTTTTGATTTGATTTGATGCTACAGCCAGAAGCTTTTGAGGTTCTCTCTTTGGACATTTCTTCCTCCATAAGTTTTTTGACACTTGGCATACGAGAAAGTACTGTTGTATCTTCCCAACAATCAACCTGTAAAGTAACAGATATAATCATATAATTAGCCAATGTTTTCTTTATCTTGTCTTTTAGTTCAATCATGACTTTTTCTAAATAAAAGAAAAATAACAAACAAACTACAAAAGATTATGCATGAAGAGATGATAATAGAAAAAATAAGGTTTAGCCAGCAAGTCCTTTTCGAAAGGTTATAAAAAATTTGGCAAGAGAGTGATGGCACTAGAAAAGGGAGAAGAGTTAATGCGGAAAATCATATCCAGTAGGAGACTTAAGAACATAAAGAAGAAGGGTGAAACCTAAGCAAGCAACCCTGATTTCACGGAGAAAACTGAAAGGAACAACTTCATGTTGGAGAAAGAGTTGGTAGAAGGATGACTATAATGAGCACAATAAGAAAAACAATCATTTTCGATGATTTTTTCCATCAGCAGAGAAGAATTTTCAGTCAAACATTATAATGTTATGTGAATTTCAAACGGATAAATATTCATCCCTAATAACCCCATAGAAAATATTTTTTGACATTTAATTTCCTGGCGAAATTTTTTTCCATTGGAATTCCGATGAAATATTTTAAAGAAATCGCTTGTATTTTATCGACGCGAACTGGGATGGAGCTCGAGGTGTGGAATGGGATTCTGACATCGGCGCCGTTGCTGCGACACTGTAGCGACAGAGCGGGATTTCTGCAGGATATCGGCATGGGCAGCGGCATTCAGGATCAGGTAATGATTTTAGCAATTTTTTATTCCCCGTCCTTTTTTTTTCTAATATAGAGGTTAACACTTATTTCACTCACCACCGCAGCCTTGCCGGAGAAGAAAAGAGGAGAGGAGGAGAGGAGGAGAGGGAAAGAGAGAGAAATGAAGGGAGAGATTTTATAGGCCAAATTCGAGGATTTATTAGTTGGGCTAGTTCAAAAAATTATTGAGTTCCAGACTCCTAAACTCCCATCGTTGATTTGCATTTCAGTAAGTTTATAAAAATATATGATCTAAAATATATTTTTCTCTGATTTTACCAAGTTTTCACCCTGAAATTTTTAATATGTTATTATACTCTGTATTATGAATACTTTGACTATATGAAATCGAGTTTTCAATTGTTGGTTTTTAATGTACGAATTTCTGAGTATATTGTTGAATTAAAATATTTCTGACAATTGTAGTAGTTATATAAAAGTCTTGAAATATTCATGTGAATGTTTCTCATAAAGAAGGAAATAAAAAAATGAAAGCTCAATGAGCATTTTGTTCTACAAGAAAAGTGACTTTTATTGGTAATTTATGTAATTCTCTATATACTACATCAAACATTTAAATTAAGTACTGTTGTATTGCATTTGCATCAGCATTAGAGGAGTTTTGTTTTGATGTATGTTAAAGTTCACTCTGTTATTTAACAAAGGGCCTTGGATATATTCTTTTGGCCCCATCTGTCTGATGCAAATGTGGTAGAGATTCTGATCCAACTTGTTAAAAGTAGGCGTGTGAGGTTATGTAACAATATAAGTATTCTTTTGGCCCCATCTGACTGATGTAGATGAGGGAGGAATTTTGGCCCCGGCTGTTATGTGCAGATGTAAGAGGTAAAAGGAGGCAAAAAGGGAAGTGGAGATATAAGCAGACATTGGAATATGTGCATTCTAGTCATGATCTTTTATATGTTAATATTTCTACAATAAGGCCAAGAAATATTCCAAGCCATGTTTTACAGAACTCCAAACTTCTAAATAAATTTTGATGGGAAGTGAAAGTGAAAGTAAAAGTGAAATGTAAGTGAATATTTGAAAATGAGTATTTTGTGCAGCATCTAGAAATTTCTATGAAAATAATTATGTGGTTAAGAAAGTAGTGTTGGCCCCAAGATCAGATATACATATTGAAAATCTGGTAAATCCTTATTTTGCTTATGCTTTAAATGTTTTGAAAGTATTTGTACACCAATAAAAAACAACTTAACCTAAAACATAAATATTTCCCAAAACTAATAATATAAATCAAAATTTAGATCTAAATTTTTTTACAAAAATTTAACTGCTAAATTTTAGAAATCTAAATCAGAAAAACTAATGAGCGAAATCTGAAATTGATTTAAAAATAAGATGGAGAATCAGATTTATGAAAAACTTGAAGAGATACAGCAAAAAATGACCCATAATAGACACCAGCACTCTCATAAGGAGAAGGGGACTTGTGAGGTTGAGAGGCTTTGAACATGCGAATGGGAGGAAGAATATGAATTTGAAAAAAAAAATAAATCTTTCAAACGAATTTTTGGTGGAAATTCTGCTAGAAATTGTTGACCTTCATATTATACCCAAAGGAACAAAAGAGAGGAGAAAGCAAAGTGAAAATTTCGCGTACATACCTCAAACCCGTCGGATCCTCGAATCATGCTGAGATTGCGCCGATTCGGCGCCGTTCGCATCACTTCTTCGCAAACTCGGCTCAAATCCTGCGATAGTTCCTCGATCTTGCTCCCTTGCAGGTCGTTAAATACCGACTCAAAGGGATCCTTCGACTGCTCTCGTTTTCTCTGTCCGACTCCACGCTTCCTCTCCCACGACCGAACTTCTGTCGCTACTTCCGCTCTCTGCTTCACGACCCTAACCAGTGACCAAAATCCTCCACTCGACCTTCAATCCTAAACCCGAAGCCAAGCTTCCCATATCCTCTTCCTCTCACTGAATCGAAGCCAGCAAGCATCCCGACTCTGCCAAACCCATCTGCCTTCCAAAATTTACCTCGGAACTTATCAGTTAAAACTCCCTCACCGAATAAAAAGAAAAGAGGGCAGAGGCCGGGGTCGAATTTTCGTCGCCCACAGATTTCTGGCCACTCCACTGGGGATTGGCTTTTCTTTCCATCTTTGACTAGTCGTCTCAGAGCTATAGTAGTAGTAAAAATCAATTTGAGCTTAAAACGCATAACTCTTTCAAAATGATCATTCAAAGAATTAAATATTTGAATTTTCTAAAGAATGATCGTTCAAAATATTTCACTGAGATAACATATTTAACAGTATTTTAGATTTATATTATTTGAATTGCTTGCTAATGTTATCTGCTTTTTGTTTTTGTGTTTTGTGCAAGTCTCTGCATTTTGAAAGTGTGGGGTAATGTATCAGATTCTAATTACTAACCCTTACATTTCATTTATGCAGATGGATCTATAGAACACCCCGATGACTGTCCAGCTGGGATGAGGAGCCAGGATTCAGCTGGCAAATGCTATTATCGAAACTGGAAATACTGGAGCTACCATACAGTTTGGTAGCATTGACTTCCCTGCTGTTGTTACAAGAGCTGCTGAAGCTACTATCCGTCGTGCCCATCTATCAGTGCCACGACCTACTGCTGAAAATCCTCGTAGGAGAACTTCTGTATTCGAGAGGTTATCATAGCCTAAAGCCCTGACCACCAGGAGAATTGTGACTGGTGGAAAGATTTTCGTGGTAACTGCCAACACCACTACTCCATCAACCGGGTTATCTGCATCTGGAAAGTACGATTCTGAAGCCTCCTCATATGGAGGAAGGCCTACAAGGAGGCAGAGAAGAAAGATGAATGCTGAACTCCGAGCTCAACATCAACAACTCCTGGTCCACCCTTCAAACCTGCCTGTTCAGGAGCCCGAAGCCAATGTTCCTACCCGAAATAAACTTTTGATTTAAGGTGGGTCAAAAGAAAGAGCTCTACTGGAGAGCTAAAGAAATCTTTCTGGGATTAACGACCTGAAGCACCAGTCCCTCCAAGGAAGAAAGAACCTGAAACTCTATCAGCTCGGGTATACCGAGTCCTGAAGACCGTGAAGGAGAAGGGTCTGAAGAAGAAGAAGTTCCAACGACCTTTGATGATTGAGGCCAGGAGAACCTCGCCAAGAGAACGCCTATCTGTTGCGGCGGAAAGAAGAGAAAGAAAGTATATCCGACACGGTGAACATCGGGGCGTGACACCTGAACCATTTATCCAGGAACCCGCCGCCGAAAGGTCCCGATGGAAAGGAAAGCAAATCTGGAGGTCAAGGCCTCTTAAAGAAGAAAGAAAAGAAAGAAAAACTGATCTGGGCGTGACGTCTGGTGCAGCTTCCCGGAGATCCGCCCCTATCTATAAAGAACATCAAAAATGGGTCCCAAAGAGAATTCACAATGACACTCCTCCCGATAGTCGACACCTTGGAGAATATTTAAGGGGATCCCGTCGATTATCAGCCCCTCCAAAAGAAGAAACCAACTTTGCAGCCCGCTGATTGAAGAAGTCTCCTTGCTGAATCAAGAACCAGAGATCCAGTGGCGTCGTCGCTCGGAGATCCGGGTATTAGAAGAGATCTAGTAGGTTCTTCATTTTGAGGGGCTGATGATCGATGGGATCCTCTAGAAGATTCTCCAAGGTGTCGACCGTCGGGAGGAGTTTCATTGTGGATCCTCTATGGGACCCATTTCTGATGTTCTTTGTAGATAGGGGCGGATCTCCAGGAAGCTGCACCAGATGTCGCGCTCAGATCAGTTCTTCTTTCTTTTCTTCCTTCTCTACGAGGCCTTGGCCTCCATATTTGCTTTCCTTTCCACCGGGACCTTTTGGCGGCGGAGCCCTGAACATATGGTTCAGGTGTCACACCCCGATGTTCACCGTGCGGGATATACTTTCTTTCTCTTCTTTCCGCCGCAACAGATAGGTGTTTTCTTGGCGGGGTTCTCCTGGCCTCAATCACCAAAGGCCGTTGGAACTTCTTCTTCTTCAGACCCTTCTCCTTCACGGTCTTCAGGACTCAGTATACCCGAGCTGATAGAGTTTCAGGCTCTTTCTTCGTTGGAGGGACTGGAGCTTCAGGTCTTTGATCCCAGAAAAATTTCTTTAGCTCCCCAGTAGAGCTGTTTCTTTTGACCCACCTTAAATCAAAAAATTTGTTCCGGGTAGGAACGTTGTCTTCAGGCTCCTGGACAGACAGGTTTGAAGGGTGGACCAGGAGTTGTTGATGCTGAGCTCGGAGTTCAGCATTCATCTTTCTTCTCTGCCTCCTTATAAGCCTTCCTCCAGATGAGGAAGCTTCAGAATAGTACTTTCCAGGTGCAGATAACCCGGTTGACGGAGTAGTGGTGTTGGCAGTTACCACGGAAATCTTTCCACCAATCAAAATTCTCCTGGTGGTCAGGGCTTCAGGCTGTGATAGCCTCTCGAACACAGAAGTCCTCCTATGAGGATTTTCAGAAGTAGGTCGTGGTACTGGTAGATGCGCATGACGGACAGGAGCTTCAGCAACTCTTGGAATAACAGCAGGGAAGTCAATGCTACCAAACTGGATGGTAGCTCCAGTATTTTCAGTTTTGATAACAGCATTTGCTAGCTGAATCCTGGCTCCTCGTCCTAGCTGGATGGTCATCGGGGTGTTCTGTAAATCCATCTTCATAAATGAAAGGTAAGGGTTAGTAATCAGAATCTGATACATCACCCCACACTTTCAAAATGCAGAAATTTCCACATAACACAAAAACAAAAAGCAGATAACATTAGCGAGTAATTCAAATAATATAAATCTAAAATACTGCTAAATATGTTATCTCCGTGAAATTGTTTTAAACGATCATTCTTTAGAAAATTCAAATATTTAATTCTTTAAATGATCATTTTGAAAGAGTTTTGAGTCTTAAGCTCAAATTGATTTTTACTACTACTATAGCTCTGAGACGACTAGCGAAAGATGGAAAGAGAAACCAATCCCCAGTGGAGTCGCCAGAATCTGTGGGCTCCAAAAATTTGGCCCCAGCCTCTGCCCGCTTTTCTTTTTATTCGGCGAGAGAGTTTTAACTGATAAGTTCCGAGGTAAATTTTGGAAGGCAGATGGGTTTGGATGAGTCGAGATGCTTGCTGGCTTCGATTCAGTGAGAGGAAGAGGATATGGGAAGCTTGGCTTCGGGTCTAGGATTTAAGGTCGGGTGAAGGATTTCGGTCACTGGTTTGGGTCGTGAAGCAGAGAGCGGAAGTAGCGACGAAAGTTCGGTCGTGGGAGATGAAGCGTGGAGTCGGACAGAGAAAATGAGAGCAGTCGAAGGATCCCTCTGAGTCGGTATTTAACGACCTGCAAGGGAGCAAGATCGAGGAACTATCGCAGGATTTGCGTCGAGTTTGCAGAGAAGTAATGCGAACGACGCCGAATCGGCGCGATCTCGGCATGATTCGAGGATCCGACAGGTTTGAGGTATGTACGCGGGATTTTCACTTTGCTTTCTCCTCTCTTTTATTCGTTTGGGTATAATATGAAGGTCAACAGAAATAAGTAACGTGATTTCCAGTGGACTATTCCACTAGAAATCAAGACGTAAAGTTTTGGAGGCACATTTGCCCAAAATTTCGACCACTTTGATTTCATCAGTAATTTCATGAAAAATTGCATTTTTGTATTCAATAATGGAGAAAGTTTTCAAAGTAACCTGATTTCCAGTGGACTATTCCACCAGAAAGCATGACATAAAATTTCGACTGCGCATTTGCTGAAATTTTCATCCACTTTTGTTTCATCAGTAATTTCATCAGAAATTGAATTTTATTATTTAATAGAGAAAGCTCACAAAATCTTTTGTTTGCTTCATATTGGTTTTGCAAGAGATTAGTTAGTTAATAAACAATTATATGGATTTGTTTACAAGCTAGAATGTGCTACAAATAATACTTTGATGTGAGAACCCTCCACATAAGCCAATAGTCTCCCTCAAGAAAGAATGTGGTACAATAGTACTTTATGTGAGAACCCTCCACATAAGCCAATATTCTCCCTCAAGGAAAGAGTTTTAAACCAAAGTCAAGTTCCAAGCCCAAAGAAGCCAAAGAGCTTGCTACACTACGCCTTCTTTCGTGACTTAAGTGGAGATACTTGAAAAACTTTACCATGGGATACCCAGCTATGGTAGCCATATATTGGTCAATTGAGGATAGCCAAACCTTGGCTCTAACACCACTTTGGGAAAGTGCAGAAGGAGCTACTTAAAATAGCAAATAGATTCATCTTTAATTGGTAGAGAAAAATCTTTTAAAAGTAGGGAGGGTGGATGAGCTAGCTGATCATGATTTTAATTGCTAATTAAAAATTATAATAATGTAGGTGCGCTGTTACAAATCTGATGGCTAAAATACTGAAGCTAAAGCACAAAGAAATCTTCAACTGTGCGGTTGTCAATAGGAATATATATATATATATATATATATATAGAAAAATTTCAAAATAGCCCCCATATTGCTACAACAAGGATTGACTTATAGTTGCTAAAGTTTTCATTCTCTGATGACTAAGCCTCCAACCATTTAAAACAGGGTAGCGGAAAAGGCTCCAGATCTCAACAGGCTCCTTTTTCAGTATATGGACGGTGATCAGATACTCATAATAGGGACACAGTAAATTTTAAAAAAAAGAGCAGCAAATTTTTGTTTGATCCTCCGCCATTAACTCTGACAATTTTCATCTAACCAGAAGACCTTAGACCATACTATATCTTACATCTTTGCATGGTAGAAAATACTTAACCAACCAGATATATCCTATTGTTCTGAAATTCAACTAAACAACATGAAAAAGATAGATTCAACTAGAAATTCAAGTCTTACATTTGCATCGTCTTCACATTTTTTCTCCCAAGTTTCCTTCGAGAGATTGTTACCCAAGAAGCAAGCTCCTGCACAAGTTAGTTGGCACTGATTCATATAGAAATAAATAAGCTTGAAAATCATCTTAACAAGGATGATAAGACAGAGATGCAGGATAAAAAGAAATAGTAACCAAGCCAAATTATCCTTTCAGCCTACTTGTAATGTTAGAAAATTTAAGGCCTTTTAACTGAAGCTAGTTTACAAATGTTTTAAAAAAAGTTTATGTACGCAACAATACTTTGCATCCTACAGCTTATTAAATTCGATAAAATTGTGAAAAAGAGTAAAATAATGAACATGAACAATCAAACACTTAATTAAGAAAACAATATGATTGAAGGGATTTGAACCAACAAAAAATTTTAAGCAAGAGCCAAAGTCTAATGAAATTTTTGAAAGCCTGGTATTCTGATGATATTGATAGGGCATTCATATAAAAAAACTGGAACAATTAATTAACAGTGGATATATTGATCTTAAGA